CCAGCGTCATCGGCTTGAAGTGAAGAAAGCAACTCCGTCATGGTGCTCAACACATCATCCGCCTTTTCTTTTCAAGTTCATTAACATGACATGGTGCCATCACATCAGCAGCGATTCATTCCATCCCATACCATACCATACCATACCATTTTCCCCCTTTCTTCCCTCGGAATTCCGTTCCTGAACTTGAAAAGTGAACTTCCCCCGCCCCCGAGCCACGCCCCCCTTTTGAAGGAAGGCCCTTTGTTGGGACAACATGTTGTTTGTATCAAGAGGTACTATATATAAAGAGAGTGTTGATGTCAATTCTTATGGCCCGACCAGATTGATACTCACATTTAGTGACAGCTTCTTCATAGCGAATGCTTTTCTGTTGATGATGGTTGGCTTTACTTTTTGTTTTCTCTCTATAGAAGAGAAAGAAGTCGTTTGTTTGCGTTTCTAATTATTGTATAATGTCGAAACACAATGTTTGCTTAAGTACTGGTTGTTTGCTGTTTAAGTACTTGGGTGTAACACAGTTTGGGTTTGTAAGTAGTTTGTAAGTTGTTTGGCCGCAGATGTTTGCGTTTAGTGGTGGATTATCTAAAATTGAAATAAATACGTTAGCACTGCTTTCCCACGAACTTCGCTTTAATCACTCTTATGCAATTTGAATAACCGATCAGCTTAGGCAAAAGATTGACAGCAATCACCGATCAAAGTCGAAGTCGAAGTATCGCGGCTTGACATCTAAATTGGAATATTTTGTTCGGGTTCCTTACAAGTCCATATATCCCATACGCAAACTGATTGTCATTTATTGTTATTAATGCTGGTGCTGCTGCTGTCGTTGATTAAAATCATTTATATGCATTGGCGTTGGAGATGAACGGGTTGCAAAATCAGAAAAATCAGCAAAATCGGCAGGGCCCAGTTGCAACTGCTACTGCAGTGATGATGTTGATTTATTTAGCCGGTTCGCTGGCTGCATTTAAAATGTCGGAAGTGTTTGCGGGCAAAAAATAAATACGGCACAAAATGTGTGTATTGCTCAGTTGTACAGCATAAAATGTACTGTATTTCCTGTTGCACACGCACTATTAAACTTAGAGTGACGTCGGCGATAGACGCCGGCGATTAAGATGCGAGATTTCGGGGAAATACGCCCAAGAGTGAAGTCAGCAGGGATTTTGGTTTGGTTTTGTTTTTTTTTTAATGGCTTGGACTCCGAATTCCAAATTTCAGTCCCTAGGGATCCGATTGTTTGGGTCACTTATGACATCATCGCCGGATCAATATCGTTTCCAGAGCATCGACAACATCAACGAAAGTTGTTCTGTTGGCTTGACAACAACCACGCAGTGTATAAAAAACGGAGAACAAAAATGGGAAGGAGAAACACTGACCAAAAGAGACTCGAAATGATATTGCCCCTGCTGCAAGGTGGCAACATCATGCGAAAAGGGCCATAATATAATGTTGGCCATAACCAGCAGGTAGTTGAATTCGGTCAACTGACCAAGCAGACAAAGATTGCAGATAAGCAATTGGTATTTGGTATTGGACGGGGGATATACAATATTGGGATATTGGGTAAAAAAAACGGAGTGATTCCTGCTGCGTTTACAAACACATTAAGCTTATAATCGCTATTTAATGTCTCGCCAGTACTTTTCCACATTCGATTGGGATCGCGATTGGGATTTGTGCCATTTGTGATTTTTATTTCGTTTATTTCGACCGATGTTAATTGCTGCCAATCTTGAAAGCTGCTCCAAGTTCGTACTGTATTTTTTGGTTGTTTATAATTAAACGTTTAACGTTTATTACATTTTCGTAATTCTGTTTGTTGTTTTCGCTTTTCGGCGCGGGGATTGCGTTTCGTTCGATTTTTCAGTGCTGGGCACCGACCGGCACGAGATTTTCGGGTTTTCGCAGGGGTTACAGGTTGTAGGTTGCGGTTTCGTGACCTTTTCCAAAGGTTTTTCTTGCTTAAACGGTATAGACACTTGTTGGCTTTGCCCTTCGAGCACACACTTTAGGCCTGGCCTTTTGGTATATTCGATATTCGATAAAAAGAGACTGAAAACTGACAACCGAAACCGGAGTATCTGAGTATCTCAACTGGGCTGCAATGCGATGCGATGCGATGCGATGCTTACTTGTTGCTTTGCGTTTAAGGACTAATATTCAACTCGGCGGTAACATTGTATTTTAAGTGAGCGGCCAGCGCAGTCAGCGCCGACGTCGGCAGTGGCAGCGACAGCGGCTGAGGCAGGCGGCAGTGCTCTCGCAGCGCTCGAAACTGTATCTGTATCCGCGTTTCGTATCTGTATCTCTGCATCCGTATCTGTATGCGTGTTGCGCCGATCGAGAGCGCTCCCTCTCTCTCTCGCTCTCGCTCTCTTTTCCCGCTTTTCTCGACCACTTGTTGCCCTGCCGCCGGTATAACTGTTCTTGCTTCTTGTCTAGGGTTTCCCCTATATAATTCTACATATATCTATCTGAAGTACCTAATTGCTAATCAATGCAATTATCTGTTGCGCTAATTGCAGAGCAATCTCCATTGTTTTGCGCGGGAATGGGAAAATTGCAGGCCAAAATTCTCAGGCGAACGATGACGAGGCTTTTTCCACTTACAAGCCGGATCTGATACTATGCGAACATGATCTTAAAATAGGTCCTGCGAAAACAGTTAACCCCCTAAGCAAATCTTTTGAAATTTACATTTTGAAATGTTTTGAAAAACATAATACGCAGAAAACAGAAACATATTTGTAGTACAAGACAACTGCAAAAAAAAGTAGCAATGGTCAAAAACAAGGAAAAAAAATTAAATTCTTTAGGATTGGTTAAATACTTCCCCTTTTATGTTACAAAAATCATAAATACATTCATGTAACCTTTAAAATTACGCGAACATTATTTAATATCAATTTCATATTAATTCAAAATAACAGATAAAATAAATATTGCCTTGGCAATACTATATGTGACCTATATTAAAAGTGGGTATTGAAGTGTTAAAGACAAATTACACATTTATTTAATGTAAATAATTTGTAAAATATTTGTTTTCATACGCGTCGAAATGTTATCGAATGTAAATAGACCGATAGGATGGTAATAATTTAATAAATATTTATCCTATAATATAACCTGAGTTAAAATCACTATTCAAACCCAGGAGAACAGAATCTCCCATGAGAATTATTGATAATATAACACCTTGCTGAAATTGCGTAGATATCGACGTCGCGTCATTTGTCTGCCAATTCCATTTGCACTTATTGTTGATCAATCTAATTAGGCGTAATTCATCATGCACGCGTACCTTTTCATTCTGCTGGACATTCCCAGTCGCATTCCCACAATTGTTGTTATTAAACAGAACCGAATCCAATTAATGTCCAATTTTGGTCATTGCCGTACCGGGTGGGATATCGTCGCCCAATTAGCATAATTCGATATGAGATCTTGTTGTTGGGGTCAGAGGATCCCGGGGGTACTTTACACGTACTTATTCTGGATGACTCAGTTTCCCAAGATAAACTTGAATCCAAACAAACGGAAAAAAACCGATCGATGGAAAAATATTATTCAACGGGCTTATGTGACAGTGTATGGTCTTATATAACAGAAGTAGCTGTTCTTGTTTATATTATGATGGCAATTCTCAATAAGGCAACGTCATTATAAAAGCTACCCATCGGGTTTAGAATTCATATAGGGATATTTCATTGCTCCGAATAGTATGCAATAAAAAAGTCGTCCAAATCTTGTATAACGCATATGGAGAAAATAGTTTGAGCAATACTAATTGGGCGTATTAGACATTCAAAAACATGAATTTAGATAAAATCAAATGTGAGTTACGTATTAATGCTATGACATAGTTAAACCAATTTCATGACGAAATATTATAATGACTCTATTAAAGAAAATATACGGGGTATTCAGATAATAACACATTACATACGTAATTTAATAAAACGTAACATATATCAAGACAAATTTGATGATCATATTAAAGAGTTCCCACAGGCAAAAGCTGATCAATTGGGCTGTGAATTATGTATAATGGCCGTGGCATAGCGACACTTTACCCGCACACACACAAACGAACATAATGGAGCACCCATTACAGACTTAAATAACGGAACCGGAAATTGCCTCAAGAGAATCTTGACTGAGATATACACACACTCTCTGGGATTAATTTTAAGTAACGCATAACCGAAATTTTGATAAGTATATGTACGCTCTAACTACTGACCTTGTAACAATTTCTTTTTACACGAATTTGTGCCCCTCATTTAAGATACATATGGGTTTAGTCGGAAAAGTAATGCAGGGCCAGGGACAGGGCCGTCGACTATTTACGGAATTACGAATCCACTGTACTTGGTGGCCACAATGTTATTAACCTCCAAGTGGGCCAGACCCCCGATCCGATTCGAACAAAAGCTGAACTTGTAAAAAGGGTGTGACACCGCTAAATGCCAATGCAAACAATCAACAAACGGACACATTCGCGAATGTCGATCACAGCTCACTGTGCGAAAATCGTCATCGTCTTTTTATCTACATTGTATTGGTTTTTGATTGTATCTTGTATTGATCATAGCATTTGTATTGTGTTAAGATCTATAAGCCTTGGATAATGCTATTAATATTGAACAATTTCAGCTTTGGGACAACTTAGACTACAATTAGTACCTTAATTTTCCCTCCGCTCCATAGCTCATTTTAAAAATTTGTTTCCTCTCTCTAAATTTTTTTAAACATAACTTATTTTTAGATAGTATTGTTTAGTTTGAAAAAAAATTCTACATTTCTGAGAAATAAGAATATATTGCCGAAATAAGAATATATAATCCTCTCTTGATCAAGTTTATTTGTATTAGATTATCCTATTTATCCCCCGTAAAATTAATGTAGACCCATAAAACTCCAGTTTTTCCGAGTGTTGGAATCCGAGTTGGTATTTTGCATCAAAGAATTGAAATTGAGCTTACCTTAGGCGATTGTTTCGGGTTTGGTGCGGGGTTTTCTGTGGACTGGGCCACCCAAACTTTGGGATGCTTATCGCTGATTCTGGTGGGTTCGGCGGGATCTCTGGATTTTCAGGGGAGGGTGGTAACGTAGGTTGTTGTTGTTGTTGTTGTGGGGCAAAAACGAGTTTGTTTACCTCCTTTTTTGTTGTTTTTGTTAAAGAGAACGAACTTTTTTTTTAGGCCCGCGGCGATTCTCTGGCACTCGAGTTTATCGCCATTTTGTGTGGATTTTGGTCAAGTCTTTGTGTTTGTTGGGTGTCCGCTGATAACGCGTCACAGGGGGCGTCATAAGGGGGCGTGCCCAGAGCGAACTTTCGGACTGTTGCTGCTTCCTCTTCATTCGCTTCAATGCCCTTATCCGCTCCCCTTTCGCATTTTCTTACGGTTCACACGCGACACTCTCTTTTTTTGGATTTGATTTGATTGTGCTCTCTTTTCTGCTTTCCACTCTTCACACTCTCCACACTCACTTCCACTTCTTTTCACCCACTGATTCGTATTCGTGCGTGGTGAAAGAGTAAAGCAAAACTGGCGATAATCGCAGCAATGAATGGAAATGAATGTGAATTGTCGCTTGTTTGTTTGTTTGTTGTTTTTGTTGTTGTTGCTGTTGGTGCTGGCGGTAACTGATCTACACGCACTGGAAAGAGAGCAGCCCCACTTCCACTCCCACACTCTTGCTCTCTCCCTTTCGCTCTTTTAGTGACATTCAGTGCCAGGAGAACTCACTCACACACGCACGCACTCACACTGGGGGCATCTTTGTAAATATATTTCCACATAATTGACACTCCACATCGATGTTACAACAACTACACAGCGAACTTGCAATTCTCACGTTCGCAGCGATTGCTCACAAAGATAGTATGTGTGTTGTGCACTTGCGTATTTATTAAGCGCACAAATATATATTTTAGCTCAAAATATTCGCACATCGGCGGTGTGGCTATATGCCATATATCTATATAGCCAAGGCAACGGACGCGATCGCGACACAAGGATTTTCCGGCGAAGCCAATGGAAGGAAAGGAGGAAAACCCCAAACCGCATGAGAAGCGAAAGCAGACTAACTGCAAACATTAAATGTCAAAATGCTGGGGACCGTTCTGCCATGCACACCATCTCACACACACAGTCGCAACACACACGAACATCGTGTGAGGGGGCGAGGGTGGAGCGAAGAGTTCGCCAAAAGTTACGATATGAAAGACACCGACTTAAGTTGGAACCTGGAGGTTTCTTTGTCAATTTGGCTACAAAAGCATATTATTTTAGATTTATTATCTTTTGGGAGCTCAGTATATTTTTAGTTAGTTAATTAACTACTTTGTGTCAATATCTTAAAAGATTAACCGAATTTCTTGAATTTATCCATATGATTTTTGCAATATATATTTATTGTAGCCTACTTTTCGGCCCTTATATAAGTGATTACAAATCTCCGCATACATTGTTCTTAGGGGTTTTTCATTAAGTGGTTCTGAAAAACTAGAAGATCTCCCCACGCTGGATATTTGGAACGCTGGCTGCTCGAAAGAGCACGCATGTGCCAGCGGTTTGATTCGCTTTTCGTTTCGTTTTCGAGTGTTTGTGTGGCTGTGTGTCTGTGAGACAATGCGGCCCCAAATCTTGTCCACCCACCCCACTGTGCCACCCCCTCGGATCGCCTCCCCCACCCATGAACGGGGAGACAAGCGCCTCTAAGGGGTCTTTAGACGAACAAAGGAAGTGGCTCGAGGGTGATAAGTCCACATGCACAACCATATCCATATCCACATCCATATTCACACCCACATTCACATGCATATTCACAGCCAACAGAGAGTCATGGTCGTTGTTTATCGGGTTATCGGGGTAATTGGCCCCCGTTCGCCTGCATTCGCTGGCGAATCGACGCCCCTGTCCACTGACTTTAGCTCACCGTGTCACACACGCACACATGCGCACGTTCGCTAATTGAAATTGAAGCATGTAACTGTAAGTCGAGCTCTCGCAAAGAAAACGTGAGCATAAGCCACTCTCTCCCACTGTGCTTCTTCCAGTGGAAGAGCGACTCCTCCCACCCACACGCACACCTACACACACACACATACAGCTTGGAAAGCGCAGAAGAATTGCCGGGAAGTTGGAGTTTGCATCTAAGTTCGAGTTGCCTGGAGTGACATGTAAAAAGTTTGCGTCGCAAATTATTGCCCACTTCCGTTCTGTCCCACTGTCCCGACTTTCTGTCTCTGTCTGTTTGTTCTTTTTATCACTCACAGAAGCCTATAAATGCAACTCAATGTACAGACCCTTTTTTAAGACTCAAACATTAAAAAACAAACATTTTCTAACCCCAAATCGTTAAGCTTTGAAACCTTTTTAAGCTTCGGACTTAAGGATTAATTCTTTTAAGGGGTTTTTAATTATTTTTTAAAACTATGTTTTATCCTAATTCTGTTTATTTTAAAGTTTTTTGTTCAGTACTAGTAAATTGTGTATTCTAATAATTATTAAACCTTTTTCTAAAGAGCTTTCTAGCTGTAAAAAACATAAAATTAAGTTATCCATTTTAAGCTGACCCATAAATATTTTTTTAAAAAAATTCCTTACGTATATCAAAAATATAATATTTTTTACGTACTCTTGTGTTTAAAGCTGTCATTGCAAGCTATCTAAAAAACCCCACTCAGTATAAAGATGTTTCCAAAATGTAGGTCTCTAATCGAAAATCATTTGGAAAACCATTATATCTTGAGTTATGGAAGTTGGACTGTACATCTAGTTGCGAATAAAAGCCTTACGAACACACAATGTAGGCTTGTTCACAATTAGATTTACGAGCATTCTGCGCTCCCGCCTGGTCCCCGGCTCATATATCATGCATTTCTTATATGAATGGCATATTCAAGTTTTGCTTGCAATAAAAATATTACGTATACGCCGGGCGGAGTGTCAACAAACTTGTAATGTGGCACAAGTGTGATTCAATAGCCGATCGCACCTGGGGGATCAGAATATGAATATCGGAATATAGTACGTGTGTCTGAGTTGGCTGGCCAATGGAGTTATGTTATGTGGTCGGGGCAAGGTTATATAATGCAGGCGCAGGCTATAGTATGAACAAGATATAAGAAACGCTGCACTCGGCTCACTTGACTCGACTTGACTTTGACCGGTCGGTCAATTTAGCTGCAGTTGAGCGGGCTAATTGCCGCTTTCAGATCTAAATGAGCGGCGCACACGCAAATGATAAAAATGGAATGGAAACACGGGTACGGTACTGGTACTGGTACTGGTACTTTGTAAGGAAATGCCAGAGATTCGGCTTTTAAGATTCGAGGTTCCAGATTTGAGATTCCCAATTCGCGACTCGACTGGGGCACTTTCTCAGAGCCTCGCAAAGGTCAAAGCAAAACGAAAACGATCTGCAAATGTATCTGTATCTGTATCTGTATCTCGGTTCGTGACTCTGACTCGTGATGGGCTCTTAGGAAATCCAGATATAACCGATGCCATTTAGAGAGACAAGACGCGCCACAACATAAATAGCAATTCCAAACAATTTTCAATTGCCAAATGCCCGAGACGATGGCTTTTCCGCTCACTGCCGCCAACGCCGCCAAACTAGTTTCCACTGTAATTGAAACTAGATCTATTTTTAGACCCAGTCCGGCCAGACGCCAGCTTAAAAAATATATATATTGCCAAAGCCCCCAATCGACCACAAGCGATCAATCGATCGATGGGTTTATGTGTCTGTTTCAGCGGCTTGAAAATCCCACGCAGAACGAGAGTGTGATATAGTACATTGGGGTGGATGAAAAAATGTTCTGCTGAAAGTTATCCTCAATACAATTATTTGTAAACTCTAATCGATCTAAAGAATTTAAATTAACTACCTTTTTATTAATTTTTCTAGGTCGGGAACAAGGAGTTCCGTAAAAAAAGAAAATTCTATAAAAACCATTTTATCATTTTTAATTCGATTATGTGCTTTATATTCCAAGCTTTTAAACTGAATATACAAATTAAATGTAATTATGAATTTATTATACCCATGGTAAAACTTTGAGGTATTGTTTTTTGACAATGAATAATATTAGATTGATATTGAGTAATGGTAGTTCCAGGATTTCCTATTAGTTTTGAAAAGGGATATGAATAGCTTCTAAACCTTCCTTATCAGGATAATAAAAAATCACCATTATAAACTATATTTAAAACGTTTTGTTATAAGTTTCCAGAAATGTCGATAGACTGTTTGAAAGTTTCCTGTACTATTCTGGTATCCCAAAATGATCTTTCTTTGCACTCACCATGATGAAAGCTCTTTCGTTGAGTTGACGGATCTGTGGAATGAACAAAGTGTATATTTCCCCGACGAGACTAGCACAAAACTCAGTCGATGCCAAAATGTTTGCGAAACTTCTGGCCAAGTCGCTTTTATACGCCGCTCGCATCCAGCGGATGCAAGGGCTTGGGGTTGGTGGTAGAGTGGGTATAGTGGGTATAGCGGGTATAGTGGTGGTGCCGATGGTTTTGCATAATACGCGGTTTGTATTAGCTGATTACAAAGAGCCTCGAGACACAAACGCAAGACAACTCAAACTCAAACACATCGCAAACTGAACTCAAGCCAAGAAAACCGTATAAATTATACGATTGTGCCCCTTCAGAATGTCTGTTCTGGTCATATGATTATGATTACGTTGATTAAAACGCGCTCTTATCGCCACTTGGTCCGCTGCTGTGTGTTAATGTGTGTCGTCCCATGCCGAGTGGGTGCGGGTCCTCCTCTGACGCTATGGTATCATATCATAGCAGCATCCCGCATCCCACAGCCCACATTCCTCATCCGCCCCGTGCGCCCACTCAATTGCAATTGCTCATACGCCGCGTTGGCGACAACAGGACAAGCAGATAACCAGATATAGTCCCGCCTTTCAATTTGCTCACAAAAGGACATCGTTAGGCGAACGAATGATGGATTCATTATGCACATCGATATGCGCTTATTGAGGCCCAAGGTTGTGGGTCTCATTAACTTAGGGGAAGGATAACCCGAAACCCCTTTCACTTTCGTTATTGCTTCTCTACGGAGAAATTTACAAAGGGCTAAACATCTGGTTGCTTGTGAATGATAAAGATATATAACTTATTTACAGATATAGGGATCCCAACACACATTTTTTTTAAGTCAGTGAAAAACTGCATTCCTTTCATTAATAAATATCATAAAAATCTTAAGCATTCTTACTTTAATCAAGTTTAATAAAATTTTAAATATATATATTTTTAAATGTATCATTACTTTTATTCATTTAAACATGTTATTTCCTAAAAACCAAAATTAAAAAAATTATTCAGTTTTAAAATTTGTTTTATTAGTATCTCCCTCTTACATTATTATATCCCTTTTAATCATACTTTCTCATAGAGTTCTCTAAAATGTAAGCTTATTCTTGCCATGATGTCCATGGTGTCCGTGGTGTCCATGACCATGACCCCCGCCTCCTCCTCCTCCTCCGCCGACAACCACGGGTTTAACCACCACCACGGGCTTGACAATCACGGGTTTCACAAAAACGGGTTTTGGTTTGACGAATTTGGAGAGCAGCTGGCTGGGATCCTTTAAGAATTCCGGCTTTGGTGGCAATTTGGCGAGTAGCTGACTGGGATCAGGAAGAGATGGCTTCGCTTTCATGATTTTGTCCAGTAATTGGCTAGGATCCTTTAGAAAGTCCGGCTTGGGTGGCAATTTAGCGAGCAGTTGACTGGGATCCGGAAGAGCTGGCTTGGTTTTCTGGATGAGCAGTGTGCCCCGAACGCCGGCACATAGGCAAGATCCAACGACCAGGAGCAGCAGGTTCCTCTTGAGCAGATCCATTGTGAGTGTGGCGGCCCAGTAAAGAAGGCATCTATTTATGGTGGGCGATGCTCTAGTGTCCAGTATCCAGAGCTCATTGGCATGCCGCACCTGTTCGCCCGATCTTGGCGAGCTTTTATTCAAATTTCTGGCGATCAAGTCGATCGAATCTCTTCATACGGCAGGCGGCGGCATTCCGTTCCACGCGTTCTGTCGGAAGAATTCCCCGAGTGTAAGTTGAATTCACAATTACCGGCTGCCCAGGGCAGGGTTTTCCTTCTCGTAATTCTGCGCGACATTTATTCATGATCGATCCGAGTTGGCATTCAGCCGGCGATCCGCGAGATTCAAATCAGACTCGACATGACGTCTTTTGCTCCCGAGAATCAAGGCTTCCACTCGCATGCCTAACAAGTTGAGAAAAGTTGACATAATTTTTGAATCCGAAGGCGGAAGTAGAAATGTACAACGCCAAATTTAAAAGTACCTGCACAATAATATATTTAAGTAGGAGCATACAACGTTTGAATTTTTAGGTTTCTAGTATCAGCCATTTATTTCTGTATCCAAATAAAAAGTCTTATTGTTATATGTTTAATCATATTAGTTAAATACTATATAGGTTTATTTATTTTGTGCTTATTTTCTGTTGCATATAATTAAACTTAATTTTATAATTAAAAAATAAAATATTTTAGCAAAGACATTTCATTGTACACTCTGTTATGATATAAGTGTAATTAAAATAATACTTTTAGAAAACAAAAACCTTTTTTGTTATTAAATTAATGAATTTTGATTAAAATAAATTAAGACAATGCAATGCAATTTTGTATAACATATATTTTATTATAATTTGAAGTAAAACCGAAAACCCCAAAAGCAGGCAACGATTTAAATTTTCAAAACGCTAACTATCGATTAAAACTATCGCATGCGTAAATCGATAGCAGCACTCGGTTATTTTTGCGTCTCTACGAAAAACGACAACCCTGCTCGAAAAAAACAAATTATTGCAAACAATCTGAATTATCAGAGAAAATATAAATATAAGCTGAAATGGACGACAGCGTAATATTGCTAGACGATTCACAGAACAGTGTGGAGATAGTGGAGGACGACGTGGAGGATGGGGAGCTGGAGGATGATGTGGAATTCGTGCCGACCGAGGAAGTGTCCCAAAACCAGGTCGAACCTGCCGCCAAAAGTGAGGAAAATGAAACCAATAATTCCAGTCAGGTGAGTGTTATATAGGATATATCCCGTACCGGGATAATGTCGACTTTTCCCGCTTTCAGGAAGCCCCCGAAGGACAAGAGGATAGCCTAATTTTTGAAGTGAGATTCGGCAGCGAGGAACACTTCTCCAGTCTGCAGAAACAAATGCTTCAGGTCTTGCAAAACACTTTTGCGGATAAGCAAATGGTCTTCCAGGAGAAACCAGAGAAACTGGTGATAGCCGCCTATGAGAATAGCCATGTATCCACGGAGGAGCTGGAAGAGGAGTCTCAGGACACCGAAGATCTCTTTCTGATCGACACTAAGCCAGCGGTTAAGCTAAATGCCTCCCAAGTTCCCTCCTACAAACGCTGCAATTCCGACGTGCTGGACGAGCAGACCGAGGCGCGGAAGAAACTCAAGGCGGAGGAGGTCAACAAGTGCTTCCGGCCCAAAAACCAATCCTCCTGCTTCAATTGCGGCGAAACGGATCACTCACTGCGCGAGTGCCCCAAGCCCAGAAACAATGCCCGGATAATGCGGGCCCGCAAAAAGAACAGCCACCGCATGGAGCGGTATCACGTGGACACAGAGCAGCGTTTTGGTCACATACGACCTGGAAAGATAAGCACCAAGACACGCCATGCCATGGGCTACAGTCGCGGCCAGTTGCCATTCATGTTCTACCGCCTGAGAGTGCTTGGATATCCACCCGCTTGGCTGGAGGAGGCCAAGGTCCAGAGCTCGGGCATAGCTCTATTTAACGCAGATGTAAGTTGGCCAGCAATGTTAGCAGCCAAACTTTAACTTAACCTCCTTGCAGGGCTCCGAGGTCATCAAATCGGACGACGAAGACGGAGAGTCAGACACCTTCAAGTACGACATCAACAAAATAGTCGAGTATCCTGGCTTCAATGTCCAGCCCACTGGCCAGTACTTCGATGTAAATATGAACTCAGCTGAAATCTCACATCTTTTTAACACCCTTTTAATCTCAAGGATTTCAAGCACCACAATGTGCCGCCTTTCCAAGAGGGCCACTCTAAGGCGAACTTTATCAAATCGCTGGGTGAAAACGTGATCAATGGCTATAAGCGCAAGAAGCTACTGGATTTGCCTGCCCCACACGACCAAGTTCCCGTTGCCACCGAGGAGCAGACCAGCTTTGACGACTACGACATGGAATTGGTAGACGAATCAGAGGATCCACCACTGCCAGAAATAGCGCCTCCGCCGCCACCACCTCCTCCAGAAGACCAGAGGCTGTCGACACGCTCGCCGTCACCAAGTCTGGATGATTTAAAAGCCCAGCAAGAAAAGCTGCTACAGCAATTGGAGTGTAATACGTCGCTTGACACGACGGCGAATGAATCGAAATCACAGACTGACCTGGATGACACCTCTGAGATTTCGGAACCTGCTGTTAACTCCAAACACATTGAGCGGTCGCAATCGGCTCCCTCGACTCCCTTCAAAGCTTCCTACGAAGGAACACCGCTGCTAAAATTCTCCGTCTACGATCGCCTGCCCGTGGGCGAGAACTTCAAGGTGGGCGTCAGCGATGTCATCAACTTTGAGAACCTGCCCGACTCCACGGGAAAGTACGAACAAATGAAGGGTCTGCTTAAGAACGTGCGCGAAAAGATGGTAAAGCTGCAGAATGAGAACTGACGAGTCCCAGGACGAATGAAAACAATCCACATCAACTCCTGCCCGCCAAATGTACATTTTAAACATTAAAGCCTCTTGTACAAAACAAATAGAAAAGAAAAGCATGTAGTTTTCCAAAGTGTTTTTAAAAATTTCCAAATATGTTTGTTAATAAGCCTGTGTGTTAAGAGTGTGCCGTCTTGTGTTTTGTACAATGCAAGGGATGTATAATTTGTCTAATTTGTGTAAACGTGCGAAAGGATGTCATCTAGATTGTGGTGAACAATTTACTTTCTCAATCGCGGGAGAAATAACAAAACAAGGAAATGCAAACTGCGAATTGCGTTGAAGAAGCTCAGGTTTGGCAGAAGCTGGATAGGAATCCACGGCGAAACCTAGTTGATGGCCGGCGGAGGAGGCTGCGGTGGCGGCGGCCCGTCCTGGTTGTCGCGTCGGACGCCGGCCCGCTTGTTGCTGGTCAGGTTGCCCCAGGTACTCGGATTCAGTATGTACATGAACATGGCCACGATCAAAAAGATCATGGCGACGGAAAAGCCGCTGTCATCGCCGCGCCCTGCGACCTGCGCCTGCTGCGTAGTGCGTCCGGTGACTAGAAATAGATGGATTGATATTAAAACAGAGTCATTTTGTGAAATGCAAGTCCCTACAAGCAAATATTGCATACTTTTTGGCAACCTTTTACTGAGTGGATTCAACTTAACTCACTTATGTGACCAATCGTTTGAAAATTTGATATGTGGTCAGAAATCTCTATCTTTAAAACTGGGGCTCCAACCTTCCCTTACATTATACACTTTTAATCTAAGAGTTTTAGAACAGACCCAAGCTTATCACTTTAGACTCGTCGGTCTTTGCGTTTTCTGATTCACATTTAAATAGAACGGATACATTGTTCTAAGTTTATGAAGCAAAACAAAATTGTTAGATTACGAGAAATATGGACCGCTGCTTGAACTTTCTAGGAATTGGAGGAAACTTACCATCGAAACATTCGGTGTCTGAACAGGCATTCTGGTTCTGGCGTATCTATAAGAGAGGATATTGGATCAGGAATACGAGAACCCAAAGGTCCGGAACTCACAAAGTTGATAAGCCGCTGCATCGCATATTCCTGCGACCAGACGCACTCGCAGCCATCAAGGTCGTCGGACATGGTTTCGGATTAACTTCTTGAGCCTGAGTAGCGCTGCGAATATCGAAGTTGGTTATAATGGGGTAAACTAGATAAATGGTATATAAATATTTTATTTTATTTCACTGCCACTGACGTGTCTTTGCAGCGAACAGAGAACGAAGAGCACTGTTTTTAAACAAAACGAACTCAACTGAGACTAATTTATTTGCCAGCCGCAATCGAGTTATAACATGCATATATACACATACATATATGTTTGCACGGTTCCGATAAAGGGGGGTTTAAGTTCGCGAGAGTGGAGGAGAGAGTGAGCTTGGAAATGGGGCGGTACGTACTGGTGGGGGTTCTGGAACCGAATGCTATTTAAGTTTGACACAATACAGTTTTAATTTTGGGGCAGTTGGCAAAATAATACCTTTGACAGTTAACGCCAATCATAAATAAAAGAAATCAAAGCCTCACAATGTCTACCCCAATACTTTCCTATTTAGTACTTACACATACGTAAGCTCTTAAAGATTTCTGTATAGGTATCACGATTATCAAAAAAAAAAAAAAAACCCAAGCAAGACGACGAGTTTTAATTACCCCGAGACAAATAGAGCGCTTATCACAGTTAATTGCAAGGTCTTTTCCGTTAGGAGCTACAATTTTGAACCCCGAACCACCCTAAAAACCTTATCTACTTTTCGAAAACGTAAACACAACTTTCCATTTTGTTTTTGTTTTTCCAAAGGGAGGCGTAAACAAATGCTGTTTGTGGGCGTACATCAATTAAAAAGCATTACCTCCTAAAACTTCACACTTACGAGAGCACCTTAATTGAGTTTGTGATTAAATTATGGTTCACTTTTACCCCCGAAACGTAATAATTATATTTTTTCTTACTGGAATGGGAATTGGAAATACTTAATTGCACATATGGTAGTGTTGGGCAACGACCAAAAGGAAATCGATAAATTTATAGAGCTGTAAAGGTTCAGTTTGGAAAAGTATTTGCCGCCAAATCTATTTTCAAATTTAAGTATTTTTAATGTTAATACTTAATCTTGTTTCTAAACTGATAAAAGATGATTACCCGACCATCAACCATATTCTAAACCAATAACATAGCAATTAAAATATTTTACCAAGTTTCAACTTTGTTCCTTTACTTTGTTTTTGTAGATTGTCATTAGCTCAATCCATTATCATATTAATTGGAGCAAAAAGAGTTTTGCGTTGTCATGTGGGCATTGAAACCTATATAAGCAACTCTTTGCCGCTTAATTTATATTAAAATGTTCCTTTTTCTAATGACACTAGTTGTTATCCGGTTTGTTGGTGCTCCTCATTTGGAACCCATCAAAGTGCTCCGTGAACTTAATCGAGCTTTACAAACGGAGCTCAATGTGTTCATTGATTTTAAAGATGTCGATGGCTTTAATATACTTCAAAGCCTACACACTCCTAAAATTCTACTTAATTCAAGTTCGAGAGAAGCTACAGAACTGCGAATTCGTGGAAACTTTACTGAAAAAGCCCTAGTCCTGGTTCAATTAACGGATTCTGTACTAGATCCCAAGGTGGCCAATCTACTACCTCATCTGTTGGATAAACTCCATGAGCTGCATATAGTATTTCTGAGCGTGGAAGAACCAGTATTTTCAAAGCGGGACCTATACACCTACTGCTTTAAAGAGGGGTTCGTTAATGTGATTTTGATATACGGCAAAGACCTCTACAGCTATCACCCTTATCCAACTATACAACCAATTAAGCTCGTAAATATCTCCGAATACCTCAATCGAGGAAGGATCATTCGTAATTTTAAAGGCCATCCCGTACGCACACTCCGCACCACATTAGCTCCTCGTGATTTTGAGTATTTCAACGATAAGAATGAACTAGTCCGAGCAGGATATTTGTTTATGGCAGTCAAGGAGTTTACATATCGCTATAATGCCACCCTGGAGAGCGTACCCTTGCCCGATGTATCGGAGTACGAATCGTATGCAGTCATTATGAACATGCTGGTCACGAAAAAGATCGACGTTGTTTGTTACTTTAAGGACTTTAGATGGGATGTGTCCTACACAGCACCACTCTCGATTATCCCCGAGTACTTCATGGTTCCCCACGCCCGACCCATTTCCAGTTATCTCTATTACTCCCGACCCTTCAGTTGGACTCTGTGGTTGGTCGTTATATCAACTGTTCTCTACGGTACTCTGATGCTTTATCTGACTTCAGGAGGAGCTCGAAATGAGATCGGAGAGTGCCTCCTGCATAGCCTCAGCCATATCCTGTACAATTGCCACCAAAATATCCGAACTGCTGGTTGGAGAGATATAGCTATTCATGTTATTCTAACGATCGGAGGCTTTGTACTCACCAATATCTACCTAGCCACGCTCTCCAGTATCCTCACGTCGGGATTGTACGAAGGGGAGTACAATACGCTGGAGGAACTGGCCCGTGCTCCGTATCCCAGTCTGCACGACGAGTTCTACAAGAAGCAATTGCAATCGAATACCTTTGTTTCCGAGGCTCTACGTCGGAACAGCATGAGCCTGAATCCCACCCTGCTGAAGGCATATCGAGATGGGCTCAACACAAGCTACATCTACTTGTTGTACGAGGATCGCATGGAGCTGATCCTTATGCAGCAGTACCTTCTGAAGACGCCGCGCTTTAATATGATACGTCAGGGAGTGGGCTATGCCCTCGAGTCCTACTGCGTGTCGAATAGTTTGCCATACTTGGAGATGACCAGTGAGTTCATGAGGCGTCTGCAGGAGCACGGAATCAACAAGAAAATGAAGGCGGATACTTTTCGGGAGCTGATCCAGCAGGGCATCTACACGCTGATGCGGGATGATGAGCCTCCAACCAAGGCATTTGACCTGGACTACTATTTCTTCGCTTTTGTTTTGTGGGCCGTGGGCCTGGTTATGTCGCTTTTGGTGTTTTTCGTGGAGTTTGTTAAAATGATGTAAAGAAGAAAACAATGGTTCCTTATTAGCTCTATCATATACGTAAGCTAGTTTACAAATTAGGATGCGCTTTATTTGTCTAGCGTATTGTTCGAAAAAAAAACAAATATTTACCAATTTTAATCTTATACTTTAAATGCTTTTCCACCCACTATAAAACGACCTGCGATTTATACTTCGTCTGTAGAAAAGCAGCTTTACTTAATAGCGACTCCGACTCAAACCAAGTTTCCGACTTTTATTGGGTGGCATGCAAATTGGGGACACGTCCTCTGCATTCTGTCTAAGGTTTTTGGAGTCCTTGGCTAGACTCGAATTCCTGTCAGCAAGCGGAGTACTTGTCGAAGCCGCCATGGGAGCGAATCGTGATTTAGCCGGAGTGATTGTTTTCCCCGCGGAAGTTTCCGCCGGGGTGCTGCTTTTCTTTCGTAGTTTGCTTAGTGACAGGAGATTCCGGCGAGCTATCACAGAAGTCTTGGTGCTCTTGTCTAGGGGCGATAAACCTGCCAGTTGGGATAATGAGGCATGTATCTCCTGCGACTGGGGAGGCGTTGCAAGTTCACTTTGGCAGGACTTTGTCTTAACTAACTGCCTGCCACCCTGAGGAGGATTTTTCTCTGCTGAGTTTCTTTCTCTTGCACGCCTTTTACTTGATGGAATGCCGTCGGAGGTGTCTCTTCTACGCTTGGGTGTCATTACACTTGAGTCATCCTTAATATCTAAATGATTTTGCGTTTTCTGCGATAGCCTGGGAAATATAGAGTCGTTGGCGTTTTCTTCCATTGAAAAATAAAGGTCATCGTTTATTTCGAAGCCGAGGAGCTCCTCCACAGATATTTCAGAACTATTGGAGGATTTTTCTTGATTCTTAGAAGTTTCTATTGGCTTCACCGTTACTTTGACTGCCGTATCTGTCATTTCCTCAGATATTCCTATGCGCTTGCTTGACGCTGTTCGGAGCCTAATGAATGCTGGAGAATCTTCAGTACGCCTTTCATTTAGCACACTTCGATGACTCTGATGAATATCCCTGGAAGGAATTTCCTTAAACGTTTCTGCTGCTGCCACTTCAGCCATTAACTTCGCAGCTTTATTTTTCATCTCGTCAGAAATAACAATTGGTTTGTTCGAGGCTGTCCGAAAACCGACAAAATCGGACTCATTCTCAACTTCCTGTTGCACAGCTCTGCTTGGTTGATTTTTTTCGCCAGACTCAACCTCGGCTATTAACTTGGCCGCTTTTGCTTTCATTTCCTCCGATATTTCGATGGGCTTATTTGAGGCTGTTTTGAATCCCACAAAGTCTGTTGAACCCAAGGCTTGGCTATTATTTCCCCAATATTCTTGAGTAAGTGAGTTACGCTTTTGACTAGGCTGATATAATCCGGATTCAACTTCAGCGATTAACTTATCTCCTTTAATTCTGATTTCTTCCGGCACTTCTATAAATTTGTATGGTGTCTTTCGAAAGCCAACAAGCTGCGGAATAGTCATCGACTGATTTTTACAAGGGGTCTTCTTTTCCGGAAGCTCAATCCCATTGACCTTCTCGTCGAAAGTTAGTTTATTCGAGGTTGATGGAACGTCGAATAAATCAGTGGGTTGCCATTCACTAAAAGCAATGTCCTGCAAAAATTCATCGTCCTTTGATTGACTTGATTGGTCTGTAGTTTTGAACTGGGCTATAAACATGGCTCCATTTCTTTCCATTTCTTCAGTCATCTCAATTGCTTTGTTTGAGGCCGTTCGAAAGCCCACGAAATCTGACGAATTCGTGTCTTTATGATTCTGATTTGTTTGGTCTGTAGTTGTGAACTGGGCTACAAACATGGCTCTTTTTCTTTCCATTTCTTCAGTCATCTCAATTGCTTTGTTTGAAGCAGTTCGAAAACCCACGAAATCTAACGAATTCGTGTCTTTATGATTCTGGTTTGTTTGATCTGTAGTTTTGAACTGGGCTATAAACATGGCTCCTTTCCTTTCCATTTCTTCGGTCATCTTAATTGCTTTGTTTGAAGCCGTTCGAAAGCCCACAAAATCTGATGAATTCGTGTCTTCATGATCTTGGTTTGTTTGGTCTGCAGTTTTGAACTGGGCTATGAACATGGCTCCGTTTCTTTCCATCTCTTCGGTCATCTGAATAGCTTTGTTTGAGGCTGTTCGAAAGCCCACAAACTCGGATGGAATCGGGACTTTGCGATCTTGTTCCATTACAGGTTGATGAGTTTTCCCTTCAAAATCAGCCAACAATTTTGCAGCTCTCTTTTGCATTTCTTCTGAAACCTCAATTGGTTTGTCGGAGGCTGTACGAAATCCAACGAAATCTTCTCCCTTCTCAGATGTTTTCTGAGAATTGGGCTCCAATTTAACGATATCTTGGGATAAGTCTTTGGTTTCCTCTAGCGATTTATCGGGGACATCCATTTCAACTAACCACTCGCTGATTGGGATGTCATCTAATACTGAGACGTCCGGGGTCTCCACCTTCAAGGGCGCAGGTTCTGTTTCTAATTGATTCACAATTGGTTTAGAATCCTCAACATCTAATGTCATCTTTTCAGTGTTGTAGTCGTCCAAGAACGAGTCTGCTTCAGACCATTCATCGCACTTGACTTCTGGAAATACATGTTTTTTACACACTCTTTATGATAGGATCAATTGAGCTCTTACCCAATTGGGAGTTCGAAATGGTCGTAGGTTGCCTACTATCTCCGAATAGAGTGTCACCCAAGAATCCTGGAACTAAAACTGTGGAATTAAGAACGCTTTTCATGACCTTTTAGTACTCTCCTTACCTTGAGGCTTGATATCACAGATTTGGGAGGCCTCGAAAGTGAAGCCGTTCTCCAGCAGGTCATCTTTCAGGCTCTGCATTTCAGTATTGGTACATTCCGCAGATGAATTAGAGTCTGAAAGACCATTCCGAAATACCCGGGAACACGAGG